AGACTTCTGACTTCACATAACCACCAAAAAAAAAATCCAGAGGTGTGATATGGGGGAGTGCAATAAGGCCCGCGGAAAAAACGCCCATGGGCTTTATTTCCAAAAAAAAAGAAAAATAAAGCCCATGGGCGAAATAGCGCCCAATAAAAGGCACTAAAGCCCGCGGGCTTTATTTACCTTGCGAAAGAGCAACAATGGCCGCGGGCTTTATTTCCCAAAGAAAAGGAAATAACGCCCGCTTGATTTATTTCATAACAAAGTAAATAAAGCCCGTGAGTAGTATTTTCTCTGGTTTTATTTTACTAAAACATTCCAATTATGTATATAGGCATACATTTGCATTAAATGGAACGTATTTTAAACGAATTACTCTCTATTTTTGCATACATGTAGTTCTTCGTTAAATTCCCTTCTGAAGTATACGCATAAAATCGAACGGTTTTTTGCCAATAACTGATAACCAAATTATTGGAAATTGAGGGTAAATTGTTATTGTTTTTAAGCCTTCAATGCGATATGTATATTTGTTCTCAGCGTCTTAGGTTTTTCAGTGGTGGCACGAAAACGCGGACGGCCAACAAAAAAAAAAAATGATTAAAATCAATGAAATTTTTTAGCCGCTCAAAACTTGCATTAATTTTACTAAAATTTTATAATCCTGTTAACTGCATGCCCAAAAAATAAAAAAAAAAATCTGGTTAAAAGGCCCAGAATTTAGGTAAAAATTTGTGGAATTTTTCCAAATTCTGTATAAAGTTTGAAAGTGTGATTTATATGGTTTTTATTAAAGCGTGAACCATATTTTTATAGTAAAATATAAAAAAAATATTTAGCTTGAAAAACATTGTAAATACTTTGAACAAAAAGTGTTTAGAATTCCAAAAACAAATTTGAATTTTCTTCAACCCCACACATATGGTAAGGAAAAATAAACAACCAGTGTTTAATTTATTTAACACGGTGTGTAAATTTGCATTCATTAAAAGAGGAAACTGGTTAAATAACAAATTTGTAGCTACACTACTACTCTTATTACAGAAATTCAAATTTATCGCTGTTACATGATATAGTAAACATCCTTCTGATATTGAAAATGTTAAAATCGACTAAGGTTTGAGTAGTCAGAGGACTTTTGTCCAAAGCGATACATTTTTCCCCACTGTAATTTTTTAAACTCGCATTTTGATCTAAACTATTTAAAAAAGCGATATCAAGCTTCATATTGCCGATCACGAAGTGGTATCAAACAAATTTCCTCATTCAGCCATCAAAATTCGAGCTTTTGAACGAAGACTCCATTACTTTTAGTATATTTCTATTATCCTTTCAGAGTCAATTTTCTTAATGTATGAGTAAAAGTGGTAAGTGCTACACTTGGCAGCCTGGTACTACCCAGCCATCCCAGCAAACACAGTTTCAAACGTTTGAGAAAAATGTATTTCTCAATTTGATATCAAATGTTTTTCTCAAATAATTTTCAAATTGAAAGCGAGGTTTAAATTTTACATTTGAAATTCATTTGAGGTTGATTTGAAGAAAGATGTCAAGTATCAAACGTTATAAAAATGTCCAGTTAAATCAAAAATTGTAAGAATAAAATTAAGATCAATTGAAAAAAAAAATTTATAGAAAAAATTTCAAAGAGGAAGTCCACAAATAGTGCATTTGATGTTTGCGCCGATTGAAAAAGCTGCAGCCGTTCAAGACGAATTTATTATAAATTACTTTATCTTAATTGTTTCTTTTGTTATGTACATACATATGTACATCGCGAAGAAAAAATAACTATGAAATATATATTTCCTATTATACATTTTATTTCCACATTTGAAGTACATTTGATAAATAACCTTTGAAATTGATTTGAGAGTTAACCATATTCTCAAATGGAGATCAAACTCCCCTTTTTATTGAGAAAGCTGTAATTTTCAAATCAATATCAAATCATTTTCAAATGTTTGACATTTGATAAAGGCTTTGATTTCAAATCATTCTCTAATGTATATCAAACCTAATTATTTGCTGGGATGGATTTAACCGGCCAATGGTTGAAGAACTTCTTTATGAAGTAGCGTTGCTAGGAGTAGCTCTAATTATCGCTCTATTTCAGAAAATTTTGTAAATCAATTTAAAAGAATATTCGTCATAGTTACCAAAATCTAAAAATAATTACAGCCTATTTAAACATATTACTTAAGCTACGTAACCGATATGTAGGTTGACAGCAAAAAAAAATCCCCACCGCCACCTGATCTTTGATTTACGTCAAACAGAACAAAGCCCTTATTGTAATAGTTTTTTGGTTTTCTACGCTTTCAATGGCTACATTTATTTCTTTCGGTATTATGGTCTTTATGGATCTAACTTAAATAAAACACAATATACGTGAAAAAAGAGAGCATGTACTAAGTTTTAAACCTAATTTTCATGATTAGCCTTTGATATTCTATTGGCATATTTTATTTTTTTTTTAATTTTGTTTAACTGTCGAACGTTGTCGGGCAATATTTTTCAAAGGCATATTTGTATGTATTTTGGATCCTTGTCTGTAAACTTTTGTCCACCCATGTCTACCTTCTTCCGCAATTTAAAGTTGAAGTTTGTGATTCTTCAAAAAGGATTTCAAACAAAAATATTTAAAGGATAGTTATAAAGGGTGTCATTGCTCGAATTAGACTGTGAAATATTTTCGTAGAACATTTTAATCTATTAGCTCCCGCCTGACAGGGTCATTTTGACCCTTACTTCAAGAAACCCCGCAAAAAGCAAGTTTGGAAGGTTCAATAGGAACCCAATAAACATTGGTCTTGGTTAACAATTCGAAAATGAGCGGAAAACAAATCTTTTTTTCCAGTCTCACCTTCGATAACTAACATGGAATAGGTTAGTATTCGATTCGAGAACTAGGCCATTCTCCAGCAAAACGGAACCGTCGTTTTCCAATGTATTTTTCCTTCGTTAAGAATTCGGAATCTATCCCATTATCGTATTGAAATTTTAATGAGAGATAGTGATTTTGTAATAATTCCCTTCGAGAATGAGCTGGATTTCACTTTCTCTCTTGTTGCTATGGTTTCAATTTTTTTTCGAACCCATCTCGAGTGTATTTCCAATATACTATGAACGTTGGAAAACTAAGTTTTGTTATGAGTTCATCTTTCGTTCGATATGCATATTGGATATCGAAGGTAGTTTTCGAATGTTCGTAAAAATTTTTATAGGGAGAAAATAACAGCCAAACTCAATAAAAAAATTTAGAAAAAGCCAATTTTTTGCTGATTTTTAATTTACATGTTTTTGGAGGCTTTTACGTAGGTGGCATGAAATTTTTGCCTAAGAAGACCTCTAGTAAAATTTTCCAAACAATAATTTTCTAAAATATATCTATCCTCTAACGACCATCCAAATTTGCTTTTTGCGGGGTTTCTTGAAGTAAGGATCAAAACGACCCTTTCGGGCGGGAGCTAATGGGTTAAAATGTTCTACGAAAATATTTCCCATGACATTTATTTAAAGAATTTTCCACTATTTCATCATTAATTTTCCCCAATAACAATTGCTTCAATATTTGTTCGATAATCTGTACTTCTCCTTAAATAAATATCATTTAATTATTATTTTTTTAAATCGCCCAGATGCATTATTTTAGTTTTCCCTGCAGCAATCACTTGCCCCAATATAAAAAGCACTGTTCCCAACCCAGTTCGGAGAAAATCAACTTACCTCATTTTTGAAGTATTGCAGCATTAAAACTTGCTTTTGAGAATCGCCCTCCTTTTCAGCGCGGATACGCAAATGAGGCCTACGCACAAGCAATCACAAACGCACTGAGCGTAAAGCGATGGTTAAGCGAACAACAATAAAAGTGAAGAAAAGCGAAAAAAATCAAACAAAATATCGCCGTTTCAAGTAAAAGAAATGTTAAAAGAAAAAATTAAAACACAAAATAAATGAGGATTACAAATGCCAACAGGCAAAAGGGTGCTATACAGAATACACAACACCAATAACAATCGCAATAATATAACCAAACAACGTACAGAACAATAAAAAATGCAATAGCGCGAAAAACAAAAACAATTATTTCACTGCAGTTGTATATGTATGTATGTATTAGCATGCATTTTTTTATGGCTGTTTGTCTAAGCAAAGAAATGGAAAGCTTCTCTCGCCACTATGCGTCGACTTTCTTGGCGTTACTGCAGTTGCCATGTTGTTGTTATTGTTGTTGCTGCTGCTGCCGTTGTTTTTGCAATTGCCTCGTCGCCAACTAGGGATGGCAGCGATTAATCATTTGATTAAATTAATCGAAATTGTTTCATCTTCCCTACAACATAGTTTCGTCTCGCGCTGCTCGAAGAGATTCTTTTCATAGCGAAAATTTGTTTAATGTGATTACAGAAGGTGATATGGTATCGATGGGAATTGTTATCCTCCTATTTTCTTTATATAGAAATACATATTAACTTTTTAAATACATCTATCTATTTTCAGGTAAAGTTTTCCGTAAATTAGGTAAACTTTATGATTCAATTTTCCATCCCTGATGGAATATCAGCTGTAAAGAAGGACCAGAAACAAACGGCTGATTGCTCTTTGTTCAATAAACATACCTCCAGGTCAAAATTAAACATACGTAGCAGAGTTGCGTAGAGAATCTGACACAAATTAATTGCAAATTAATTTTTGATTAGCAATTAATAATTTGCATTTTTGTATTATAAATTGGGTAACAGTTAAGGCTTAAATTGGTGGAAAGGTTCTTAATTAGCAATTAGGTGCCTGTTTGAACATAGTATTAAATAATAAATAATCGCCGCTAAAAGTACTCGTTTTATTTGATTTAAGGCTAATTAACAAGAGAATCAGAATTTTTTTATGGAAAAGTGTTTTTGGGAAACTCACTGTAAAAAGTGCCTTTAAAAATTCGATTTTTTTTCAATAATTGCAATTAATTTTTTTTTTATTACCTTATTTTTATTTTTTTACCATCCCTATAGCCAACTGAAAACAATGCATATCGTAAGAAGTCATCATCAACAAAAGCACAAAAAATACAAATAATACGATAGAAAAGAGTGATTAGAGCTAGCTTATGCGGAAACGGCAACAACAACGAGAATAACAACAAAAAGAGAAGTAACAAGCGACAAACAACAACAACAAACCACAACAGAAAAATCATCATCAGCGAGTGGCGACAATTAAAATACACAAACAGCAATAAAAACAACACTAACAATAATGAGAACTCTTCGAGGGCAGTCTCGGCATTGTTGTGGCCATGTCAGCAACTACTAAGTTACATACAGCAACAATTATGCCACAATGGTTGCACTGCCTGCCCTAACTTCCCTCTGTGAAAGACGTTTAAAATGCATGCAACATATAAAAACTTTGCCACACTGACACAAATGTTGCAACTATAGCTAGGCCAGCTGCACGTGTGTGGGTGTGCAGGGAAGTTTTTGCACGCGGCAGATTGTGAAGTGGGTGGCTGGTTGCGTGGAAATTGAATACACATTCGCCGCAAAATTTTAATTGTTATTCCAATTGCATTGTTGCTGGATATTTTGTAGCCTTTTGATTGCTGTCGTGGCATTGTTGTTGCTCACGAAGACGACTGCGTAAACATAAACTTTTCTGTTTTTATGCT